ACCTCACACAGTTATGCAGTAGATTTAGCATTCTGACATTCTTTATTTAGCAATACATCAATGGCTGAGGAACATATGTACTTAAACAAAAGTGGAATTTCAAATAAAAACATTTTTCTTCTGCAAATCAGCACTTAAACTCTGACTAAAATTTTCGGTAATATCCTTGAAAAAAAACTGAGTACTGAGGAATGACCTTAACTAATGTAAACGAAAGGTTCTGTGTCTTAAATAATTTCATATAAATCTTCAAAATAGAAGTAATGTCCCTAGTAAAAATTAGGCACATGTATATATGTATTGATAGCTACTAATATGAAAATTCACAAACACCAATTATTACATTAAAGAAATTCAAAGTTAATTCTGTGATAAAATACTAAATTTTATTTTCTTACTTCATACCTCTTACTGGAAATACCTAAATATTTACAGATCTATCCAGAACGTACATTTTATTTTTCCTCAGGATATTCTACAATGATTTGCAGTGAATCATTCTTTACATATAATATCTAACTGGGTATTGTAATTTTTTCTTTAGGTTTATAAATCACTTTTTAATTAAATTTACTCTAACTAGGACATCAAGAAAACTGAGTACATAGAACCACATAATTAATATCCATTCCATTGTAACTACGTAGTTATTTAATATATATATATATATATACCTTAATCGTAAAACACATCTTTGATAAGAGAAAATCACCAACAGGTTTCTTGCTTCCAATTTTTTAGTATATTTATTAAACATATTTTATGTTAGATAAAATTAAACTAATGATGCCACAGCTACTATTTCACTTATCAGTGATAAGGAGCTATTTCTATTACATTACGATTAAGCTAAAATAATGCCTATAATAAATTAGAGTAAATGATCTGGGTATTCTAATAATTATAAGGTATCTGTGGAACACAGGTAAGAGGTATTTCATAAACTGAGAAGGATTGAATAGCTATATGTTTATGTACATGCATTTGCATAGACAAAAGTGATGGATGAAAGCTACTGATACATTTATAAAAAAGCTAATCATAAAGATTTAAGGATATATCACAACTTGTTACCACAGTAAGTTACCCTTACACCACCCCTAACTGATACAGTGCAGATTTGATTACATTCTTGAACATATATCTTCTTATTAAAAAGAAACTCAGTATTTCGGCATTTAATAAGCTTATTGCTTCCTAGTATTTTAAGTACGGATAAGTATATCAAATTTTAAACTAGAATCAAAGACTACTTAAGGCCTAGCTAGATTCTTGGTAACATCTGCTATAAAATCACAACAGGAACAAGCCAAAGTAGGCCTATTAAAGGAATAATTCTTTGTAGGGATGTATGGTTATTTACAACAACAGTAGTGCCATTTCTAACAAATCTACTGGTGCATTTCAGCATTGAACTAGTTACACAAACTAAAGACACAACTATTCTCCTGTTGGCACATGTGATAAATACTTTAATGTATTCAATGCAAACTCATAAATGGTCTATATAATGTACATGAAAAACTAATCTCCTGTTGGTATATGTCTTATGTGAAAGTTTACAACATATTCAGCATTTGTTCTCTGTACACTTATTGCAAACGGATCAAAAGGATGAAAAGTAAAGGCAACTAGCCGTCTTGCTGCTGGTGGAGGGTTGTGTCCTTGTAATCCAGCATGAATTTTGAATTTCAGAAGCCCAGAGTCTCGTGCATAAAATCTAAAAATGAAACAAATTTTGTACAAATTAATGTTGGCATTAAGAATTACTGTATCAAACAGGTAGTCTCTTAAAAATCACTTACAAAACATGAAAAAAAAACACCAAATCCAACCCTTTAGTGGGTCCTTTTACATTCATATATTTGTTCATACTGTTAGTATCTGCTATAAAATTTTCACTAGCAAATGGGATTATTGAAGGATTTTATATAATGGTTACCTAAAGATTTCTTTCTTTGAGGGAACTGATAGGTAAAAAACAAATTTATGGAAATAATACAAGTCACATCAGGCAATACTCATGTTTATCATTACTCCATGGCTTAGAAATAATAAAACTTTTTAACTCTTAAAAACTGTTAATGCATGGTATTTTTTTAAGTTCTTTATTTGCAAAATTTGTGATGGCAGAAAGTTGGATTCAAATTTAAACTGAAACAAAATATATGCATTTATAGTTATCACAATTTTATGCAAAAACATACAATTTATGATTTAGGTGCCAAAAGTTGGCAAAGCATTTCTTAGCATTATGCCTAAATCTATGATGCAAATCATGTAAATTGCAATATTTTTTCAGATGCCTCTTAATTTGTCCATTTCAAATCTATCTTTTGTCTCCCACAAGCCAATCATTGCCCGAGAAGCATTTTGTTCAATACAAAGCTTACCAGCTTTCACACTTTCTTACCAGCTAGTACTTAACAAAAATTTCCAATGTAAGTTCAATTCAATGTTTAAAAAAAACTACACACAAAATTTCAACTTAATTACAAAGTGTGCAATCCTGCCTCATATTTTTACAGTGTATTTCAAGTTACAAATTACCTACCCAATCTTTGAAGAATGTAAATATACAATATTTTTTGACAACAACTCCATCTTTCTATTAAATTTCTTTCATGCTCCTGAAAATACCAATGACCATGATGATTCCTTTGGTACCACTTAGAAGTCGGTGCGACCATGAATTTAGGTGAAATTACATGAAACACTGACATTGAATCTTATTATATAGATGTCTTTCACATCATCATACATGTAGATCATTACATTTATAGTTGCTTACTTACTTACTAAATAGTGCTTTCCCTCACCACATTTGACAGTCTACACAGTACTGGTCTCAAGTTACATAGTATTTATATTAGAGAGTTGGGCTTTGACAGGGTCTTGAGTGTTAGTTCCATTTTATGGACCTGCTTAGTATAACTATTAGTTGGTGAGACAAACTTCAAGTTTTATACCTTGAGAATTAAAAACCAATTTTGTCCATTCTCGTTTGAATTTAATAATTCCACATCTTACTCAGTGTGGATAATTGGATCTCTAACATAAATAATGAAAGATACAAGTTGGTTTCCGATGACTAATGTATTAGGATATTTAGAACACAGCTTACAGTCAGTTTCATCTAAACAGTAAAGAGAGTATTTTTATAACACTCCCAGGATTGTGATTTCAGTTTTGCTGGTTTTATAGCTTGTAATTCAAATACAGACATGAAGAGGTCATTGATAATTGGTGAAAATAAAGACAGCCCATGCCTATATTACTGGTTTGTTCACAAAAGTAGTCCTAAGCTGAAAACAATTGATACCATGGCAATGAGAGATAAGTTCCACAATGGATTTAACAGTGAGGCTATTCTAAAGGTATAAACATTGATATATTTCTAGCTTTTGCCCAATTCTTGTGATAAAAATCATGAAATGGTGGTTTGTTTGGAGAGACATGTTGATAACATTAAAACATACAACAGTATCTTATGGGTTGTCTTAAGTTTTGAGACAAAAGTAGAGGAGCTTAAAACTTGGAAAGACGATAGCATAGAAACAAGTTAATGGGCTAGTTGGTGGCAAGATGAATCAGAACATGAACCTCTAGGTCTCTACTGCACAGACAATTCATCTTAGTGGAAAAACTGGCTTTATGTGCATTGGGTAGGCATATTATACTTGTGGATGCTACACCCACCAGCTGATTAACAGTGAAGTGTCTTATGGTATTCTTTCAAGTCTGCCTAGTGGGATTACTTTAAAGGTTCTGCTATTTGCTGTCTTAAAATTATGAGCTACAGCATTTTGGGTTTATAAAAAATTGGTTGCCTTGGTAAGTTGACTAAACTGTTCATAGTTATGCTCTCTCTCTGCTTGTGATGCTTTACAACTGAGTCTTTTGTTGTCTTCAAATCTTAATTTCTCATCTTCACTTAGGTAAACATCTTATACGTCATTATCTGAGAAAGTAATGAATAAGTGTGAGTGTTTGATTAGTAATTGGGACAAAGTCTGAGGGTAAATACTTACTCCTCAGTTACTTAAAACTGTCTGCAGGAAAGTTCATTTAGGTGTTTCTTTTAGTTCTGGTTAATTTCATTCTTTCTTGTAATTAAATAATCCATTTTTTGAAAACAAATGGTTATATCCACCTCCAAAAATACTTTAAAAACATCTGTATGGTTTAAATGATGGGAGAGTTGATTCGTAGATTTGTCATTAATACACACACAGGGGAAACTCTCTTTTTTCAGGGCAAGCTGCTGTCTTATAATCTCTCCCTTTTCACAAAATGCAGAATTGAGGATGGAGAGGTAAAATGAAGGCAGTGACTTGATCTCATTATATGATTTATAATTTTTTTTAAATTAAAGAAGACCCTGAAAAGTATTTCTACAGCTTTCAAAACATATGATGGTGTGACAACATGAGAATGCTCTAACAGCTAAGCTGCAGTAACTATGATAAAGACAGAAACTACTTTACACTACATTATGTGTACAGAGTTCACTATATATGTTCCACCCTATGCATCTTACTACAATTGTAACAGCAAATCAAATAAAAACAACATACCAATAAATGTGGTTAAATGTGTATATTAATAGTATGTGCAATAGTTCAATTGTACCAAAAATAGGACATTTTCTGACCTCAATCCAGCACTTGGTTAATATTTAGATACTTGATGATAGAAAAACAAAAACAAAACGCAATAAATATGATCTATTCAACATTAAAGTGTTTCTGACAGCAGAAACAAAACTACAAACAAAATTCACAATGAAAAAATTCCAACACATTACAAAAAAGCTATGTATATCCAATTATTTGATATATTTTCAGAAAACATATGCACCTTTGTAAAAGATTTTACATCATGGAAAGTACTTCATTTTATCTAGCAACTGGAGAAGTCTGTAATATTATGCATGTAAATATCTATTGATATACAAAAATTCAAAATCAATATCTTTAAATATGATCAATATTCAATAATATGTACTTCACAAATGGAAACAACCTGTCCAAAAACCTGAAATGATAGAAGCTAAAAAAAAAACTGGCATGCCAGTTTGAAAATTTAAATAGCATTTTCAATCCCTTTTTTCTAATTCATTATTTAAACAAGAAAATATTGAAATTATCTTTATATTTTCAAAAACACATATAAACATATTTTCATAACAAAATAAAATAACTATCAGAAAGAACTGTTTTTAAAGTTCAGACAAGTTTTTATTACATGTAAAGAGTAAATTTTTATTTTTGTCACAGAATTAATCCTCTCCACACTGACGGTTGTCAAAGTGGGCAAGCTACGACCTTCTACATAGTGCCATTCAATATAGTATTATGAATTTCAAGTTAGAATCATCAAATGTTCATTTTAACTTACATTGCTGATTTAGTGACAGTTCGTACTAGAGGAAAGTAAAACCAGATACAATATACAGGGATATTGAAAACAATTGTAGATATACATTTGGAAGGTTCCATAGGTTATGCAAATACAATACATAGCCTAAACATTATATAAACATCACCTTGCACTCTGACTTGTCAGAGAATGAGTCAGACTAACATCTCAATTTATAGACATATCTTGAGTACATATATCTTTGTAACTCATCTGATTTTCATGTACAACAACGGTAACATCCCAGTTTATCTACTCCCATTAGATTAAATGGGAATAAAACTAAAAAAATACAATCATCAGAATAAGGTTTAGATACAAAAATCACTTTGCATAGTTTTAGAAACATTTTGAACTTATATTGTTTAGAATACAATGCAATAGACTGTTAAAACATTCACACATTGATATTTTATATGTACATGCACATATACAATAAAAATATATCACATAAAAAACTTGGCTTGTTCCCAAGAAATTATAATACTGCTTCAAAGTTTTTCATTTAGAATAAAGTGGCATACCAAGTTTACAAAAAAATATAAAACATTTAATTTGGTATATGATTACATTAGACTAAATGGGAATAAACTCAACAGACTTGTATATTTTACTAAAAGCTTGCCATATTTCATGTATAAACCAGTAATAAATTTAGAATAATAATCAATATTCACTCTCTAATACAGGGTTGGTTCAATAAACTGAAATGATATTATTAATTTTATTTCATATTTTACAAATTTCCACTTCCCTATACATCAATGACTTCACTACAGTTAGTATTAGGGCAGAAAAAATAAGATAAAATATAAAGCTTTACCAAACAAAAAAACTTTTGATATTAATTTAGGATGTTTATTGTGTTATGCAAGTGAAAATGAACACAGTAAAGTGAAAATAAGTGATTTAATTTTTAGCATGGAAATCACTTTTCACTTTGATTTATTCAAGACTAAATTCAGACAACTCTTTTGTAAAAATATCTAATTAAAAGTACTAGTCTTTTTTTTGTACAACAAATGTGTAATGTTTACTAAAACCTTGCTAAATTTTTTACACATAAACTTTGTAAATTCAGAGTTACAGTATGTATAGTTTCAAACCCATACAGAAATAATTATGCAGAACAAACTCAAATTAATCAAAAACAATAATTAAAAAGCATAATAGAAGTATTTCGATAACTTATATAGTTGGAATAATTGAAATCAGTAATAATGAGGAACTCAATTACTTGAGTATTTTCCTGATGTTAATCAATTTACTCAGTCATGTTTTGATTATTTTACATGGCACTGATAGATGTAATTTAATTGAGCTCAGAGGTAATTGATTATGTTGATAAATATATTCAATCACCCAAGTCTAGTAAAGAATATAAACTGATTTTTTTAAGTCAAGATGTATCTTACGAGTTTTCTCTTTAGCAACTTGAGTGACTGCTTCATGTTCTATACAAAGCACACCCTTTAATAATACTGTTTTTAAAGAAAAACATGTATCATTTTACCACTCAAAAAACAAAAATTATTACAGTGGTTACATTTCATTCTTTTAAAAAGGTTTCCTAAAAACAAAATTGGGAACAAGTATCATGAGCAGAGAGGAAAGATTCCTCGTGTTAGAAATCAATACAAGCAAAAACACTTACAAAAATATTTTTTCTCTAAAAGAAAAAATTCAAAATTTTGGGTCTGTTGTGGTAAGCACTGGTTTTTACTTTTAGGTCATTTTGTCAGACTAATATTTAAAAAAATTGGAGCCTACCAATTGTTTATAGATGTACTGGTATAAAAAGGTTGGAGAAGGTTCAGAGAAGAGCCACTATGATTATACCTGGAATGGTGGGATTGTCCTATGAGGAGAGACTAAAATCTTTAAACTTGTTTTCTCTGGAGATCAGAAGGGATTTCTTGATGTGTTTAAGATTATTAATAGTATTAATAACTTATATCCATCAAACTTTTTTGTGTTTAGCAGTGAAAGCAACAGGACAAGGGAGAATAAATTCAAATTTTGGCAGCATAGGAGTCATCTGCAGTTTAGACAGTATTACTTTACTTTTCAAACAGGGTGGTTGGCTTTTGGAATGAGCTGCCTTCAAGGGTAGTGGAGGCAGAAAATTTAACTGAATTCAAGAAAAGATTGGATGAATACACGAATAGTAAGGGGTGGTTATAGTGGGGAGCTGGAAGGGACATCCTTGATGGGCTAATAAGCTCCTTTTTGTTCCGTTAAAATTTTATGAAACTTATGAAAATACTTTTAAATGAGTTTCATTTTTCTACAAACAGTAGAAATATTAGGATTTTCTTTGCCTTATAGTAGTTTTAAAAATATTTCAATTTGTAAATAAAAAATAGAAAATTTTATAGAGATCTTCTTAACATATAAAATACATTCTGCACTCAATAAACTATATTACTAATATCTCCTGTCCTCTCTCATAAATTGTTAAAAAACAAATGTCAATGCATTAAAAGTATATTGTATATCATATGGCTATTGACTGGTGAAATGGAGCTCTTTAGTGAGCTGTTAGAAAGCTTGGTAACAAGTAATATCACAGATGTATAAGTAGAAAGGTTGAGAAAATCTAGTTAACAATTACCGGTGTATTATGAAAAGGACTATCCAGAGGTATAGTATTGAAATTTAAGTGAGCCTTTGACATACTTGTTTGATATAAATAACTCAATTTGAATTGATGAGCAAGAGTATTTTCAAGTAAAATACAGACAGTAGCTCAAAATAAGTCGATCACCAATCACTCAAATATTGTAACGTATGTTGTACGATTACACAACCGTTTCACAACTCTGTGCCACTACATTGGTACAGGAATTTTGATGAAAGTTGATTAAATATGTCAGAAACTTTTAATATGTCTCAGCTTATAATCCTTTCACTTTAACTAACAACAATTCTTGTTCCTAACATTACATGTATGCACATACCTTGTTAATCCACACAAAAACACGCAGTTTGTGTAAAAGTACCCTAGATTTTCTATTTGCGCTACTTTATTTCGATTCATACAATCCTTACCTAATTGGATGATCTCCACAGCTTTTGGGCCTTTCCATTACTGAAACCCACTTGTCGTCATAGCTAAAAAGAGCCAGGTCTAGGTACGGACTGCTGGTGTATGACTGTGAACTAATGGGTAATTGTGCAAGTAACCGCTTTACAGCTTCCGTAGGACCCCCATTACGAGCATTAATGATGGTCTGTTTAAATCTATACTGATTTAAGCGAGAGTAGTTGTTATTGGATGGAGAACAAGTCAGTTGTGCTTGAGAGTGTAGGGCATTACGGAACATGTCACAGAAACTCTCAAACAAATTCAAAAGTTCTTCTGAAGTATAATCATAAAAAGCAATAACTTCTGTTGATTCCATATTGTATACAACAAAAAATGATGGCTGGGTATTTGGGTATGAAAGTCGTAAAGTTACTACTTCTTCACTAGCGTATTTTATCAGTAAATGATTTTCATCAAGTAACTGCATTTTCCACATCCTTAACTGGCGAAACTGATCAAAATACTGATAAAACTTTCTTAAAGGTCGAGGGGAACCAGTGCTTTTGCTTTCTGACAAAGCTTGTTTAAACAAAAAAACCAACAACCTATGCTTTAAAGAGTTGATTGAAACTTCTCGGTAAGGCCTATGGATTGAAAACCTGGAATTCCCTTCACTCATGAACAATGAGGATATCAAGAACTCATCATCTTCATAACAAAATCTTCCAATTGTTCTGACATCAATAAAATTTCCATCAGAATTCACCTGAAAAATGTGAATAGTTTGATGTTGAACAGAAAGAACAGCAAGGGTATTTTTGTACAAATAAAGACCTTGGTTATGTGACAGAAATATTTTATCAGTCTTAAACGTTCTTTTGTCACAGAGCTTTCCTTCAAATAAATCTACTAAGTGTAAAGAATAGTCCTCTAGTGGAGAACGCGGGTTTGGAGATACAGATTCACTGTTTCGATAAATATCAAAAAATAATGGATAAGGTTCATCAGGAATGTATGCAGCAGAACCTACAATTACAAATCTTCCATCATCAGTGAAAAGGCTACATTCTCTGTTCAGCTGCTCCCCATTTGAAGCAATGTTTACAACATGCTTCAGTTTGAAAAAATGTTCAAAAATTTTACTACGAATATAGAGCATTTTTTGGTCATTCCCTTCTGCAGTGTGCTCCCCTGAAATATTTTTAAGCAGCTCTTCAGCTGCTGATGGACCACGGTATTCATATATTTCAATGGAAGTTTGATCTGAAGAAAAAGCAACAAAATGATAGCCACTAGGTGAAAACTTCCTTAGAAAACATGGAGGCTTTTCAACATTTACAACTGTAAAATTAGGAAAGACGTTTTGATGAAATGCCCGAGAAACATGAAACTGAGTCACAGACTGTTTGGCTGGATAAGTTTCTCTCTGGATGAGTCTAGATACTATATTTTGGGCTGGAATTTTTCTTGAGCATATCCCTTGTTCTTCTATACTCGACTGTCTTGCAGTGCTAAAAGCATGATGTTCCGCAACTCCTACAGAAAATGCAAGGTGACCACTTCCAGATATCTCCACACTACGATGCCTGGGCTTGTTAACAAGAACCAACTTCTCTAAACGAGCTTGCCCTATAATAATAAAAAGATAACTTGCTTTGGTCAAAAGTTAATGATGATGTCACATGAGAGATTTCTCTAACTCAAACATTAGCATAAATGTGGAAAATACACATACATACCAAAATCAAAAATCTATAAAATCATATAGTAAGAATCTAAAATAAAAAAGTTCAATTAAGCTTTCTTTGAACACAAAAGTTGATTTTTACACTGATATCAAGTCTAAAGCAAATGTGCATTGAGATGATGATGATGATATTATTAATGTTTTAACTTGTCTTGAATTCATCATGGCATCTATTTTTCATCATTTACAATGTCATAATTAAACTTTACATTTTGAAGCAAGAGTAACAAAAAATATTTGTAACTAGCATAAGCATTCAGAAATAATATTTAATCTTTGAACCAAACTATCTCTCAAAAATTAACAAAACACATTTTTAACTAAAGTACATATAAAGTTATGTGAATCACTGGCAATGCAAGCAGTATTTATGATAGCAAGCTTGTGGAAATATGATCTACAGTACTGAATATTTTTCTACAGCGGAAAAACTAAATCTATACATGTACCTGAATAATGATAACATAGTGCTTGATGTTAATATTTCTACAATCTCAAACTTATTTTTTTAAAACGTTAGAAAATAAAGTAACTCACGATACAGACAAATTTTATTTCCAGAAACAGTTAACTATCTGAAATCGTAAAAACTCCACATGTATATCATAATAAATTAAAACTTGCACAAAGGTCAATTTAAATTAAGTATTTTCTGAGGTTGTCAAACACTGACTGATCCAGTTTATATAAACTTTTGGTCTCACAAACAAATACAGTAATAAACTGGGTATTCCCAAAAATTAAAACCTGGTGTAGCAATATCTATCAAAGCATCAGTCACCAGTTGACACTGTATAGTTGGAGCTTTTCTGTTGGAATAATAGTTAGTCAAATATGCAAAATCCAACAGGGAAAAATACATTACTTTCGAATAACCCACAACCAAGAAAACAAAACAGGAAATGTGGAAAGGTTATGATACTGAAGAGCAAATCAAAAATCAGGTGAAGATTATATATCACTATGAGGTAGATAAATAACACTTCCTACATGTACAAAGAATACCAAGCAACCAAGATATGGAAACATTAAAGTCCAAAAGTTGATATGAGATAAGCTAGAGTTTTTTGAAGTCAATACTGATATCAGTACAAGTCCTACATTGAAGCTACATTCAGGAGAAAGATAACTAACTGACTGAAAGTGAATTTGTCTCAACAGGGAATAATAACCTTTCTGGGTGGGAATTTTTTCAACATGGAGAAAGGTATGAAGGAATGACTGAGGAAAACACTATACCTTCTCTCAGGTAAGATGATATTCAGAAGGAACAAGCAATCACAATTAGAAATATTTTCTCAAGTATATGAAAATATAATGATAGACAAATTGACATCAGCCAGAAACCTAGAGTAAAATAAAAGAAGTTTTAAATGACAAGTGAAATAATAAGCATGTGATGGAAAAGACCTCTACAAGGACAATATGAGAGCCTTAAAGACTAACCTAGGTCCCAATCCAGAAGTTTAGCAGGCTTCAATGACCTGAATAGTTTTGAATGACAGATGAAAAGGATAAAAAAAAAAAAGGTAGCAAACAGAACAGCCCCCTCCCCCCTCAAAAACTTATGAAAACAGAAAAAAAAATCTTAGAAGAAAGAGCTAGTGAAAATCTGAGTAGATTGATTGTGAAAACTACTGGAGCAAAAAATAGTTTTAATTCTCACACAAACAAGTGATCTCCCTGAAGACTCCTCACCACTATGGATCCAATATGAATAAAACAACTGTTGTACTGGAAAGATTTCTTATACCAATCGATAATGAAGGGTAACATCTCCAATTAAATGGGAGAAGCATCTGTGAAAATAAGGTTATCAACTTGAAATAGGAATATGAAAACTAAAACTATTAGGGATTGTAAAATCTAACTGCCACAGAAGATCTGGATCACTAGAAGAACAAAAACTGGAGATTTTTCTGTTGGTTCATTAATTCCCACCATAGAAGTCAAAGTTGGTCTGAGACAGAAGGATCAAGGTTTTTGAGGAAATCCAATACTCCCAAGAGAAATAGATTCAGCTAATAGCATAATTACAGAGAATACAACTTTTACTTGTTCTTTTAATAATAACAAAATACTGAGACAGTTTACATCTGGCCAAAAAAGATGTGCCAGATACTAAGTGAAAAGATTTGAAAAGCTTCACAAGCCAGCCCTAACTGACAGATTGAAGAACTGTCTTTTACATGACCAGTGAAGACTTTGTAAATGCATCATGGACTACTGGTCATTCATATAACACTCACATCTGAGAACTCTGATAAAACTAAAATGGGCTGTAGCAGATTAAATAAAAATATATAAAAACATGTAAAATAAACCTTGGTGTATCACAAACTACAGCAATCTGATGTCATCTTTGTCATCTAATATGATGCAACAATCTTTAATATTCATTACCCCAAAAGACATCAATAACAAAGAATCTGAAACTTGACAAAGAACAGTTAGAAGGTATCTGATTAAAATATATGTTAATTTAGAGGGAATTGATTGTGTTGATGTATCTTTTTTTTTGTATTTAATGGTGAGAAGAGTAAAACTAGGAGACACAAATATAAATTCTGGCAGGGTAAGTCATCTTTAGCTAAGACAGCTTTGTTTTTCTAACAGGATGGTTGACGTTTGAAGTGGGTTGCCTTCAGATGTGGTAGATGCAGAGATAAATATTTTAATTGTGGACTTTGAATGTTTTATTTTAGAGTTTAGTGAAGTGGATGGGACCATCTAGATAGACCAACAGTTCCCTTATTGTCCATAAGTTGTATGTATGTATATAATAATTGGGATTACTGTCAAAAATACTGATAACAGAGAAAGTTCCCAACTGATGAATCAATGCAAAAGTCCTAAAAATATATTTCTCGTGGGCATCACAAATCATATTATCCAACTTAAAAATGCATGTTTATCATCATTGAAACTTATATAAACATAGTGTGTCCATTCTCCAATACATAATGAACCAAGTAATATATGTAAGAGAAATAAAATTTCACTCATTCAGCTGTTAACTGATGATTCATTTATATTTTTCTTAGGAACTGAATAATATTTAAAAAACACCAAAGTTCCAGTAAATATTACATGAACATAACAACTCTATTACAGATGCATTCAATAATCATATGCAATACAGTCATCATTCTCAACATCTATACTCTCACAAAATGTTCTTATTAGAATGACTCTTTTTCAACCTATATAAAACATATATGGTAGACCCCCGATATTCAAGAACCATAGCTTCAATGGTACTAGAACTTTAGAAATATTTTCACAATGCATTTAGTTTTTATTACTTATATTTTTTTCTTGATCATTTTACCACTAATAATAGTTTCTTTCACCAATAAGCTTCTTTAATGAATTCTGTATTTGAATTATTATACACAATCCTATATTTATATTAATTACAACATGTGTAGGACTTCCATCCAGCCAGTCTCCTTAATTTTGTACACCTGCAATATTTTAGTTGTGTTTATTTTTCATCACCTCTATAGTTTTGTTAAACATCCTTTTACATCTGTCCTAAATTAAAATCTACTAAAAGTTTTCAAGACTTTTCTTGGTTTTATTTGTGTACATCTTCATTATTGTATAGTTATAGTATTTATTTTTTATCACCTGTTTTATTAAATATGCTTTTATAACTTTAAATCACAGTCTACTTTGAAGTACAAATCACATTCAGTGTCTCCTGTATTTACATGTTTATTGGTAATCTACAATGAAAATGGGATAAAGAAATGTTGAGATTATAAACAAGTTTTTCACATTTGTTTTCAAGAAGAAAAAATACATTTTTATTTTTCCACTGAAAACAGTACAAAATCTGTACACCTTTTCAATTAAATGTTTCATCATAAAATAAGTTTTTTAAAGTTTCACTAAAATTACTCCTACAAGTTTTCCCACTGAAATTCAAATGATGTTACAAGTACATTTAGGCCAGCAACACTCAAATAACTGAGGGTGATTTACTATTTTAAACTATATTTTAAGAAAAAATCTTAAATTAAACAAAAATGTGAAATAAAATAAGAAATTTTATGTTAAATTACACTTTGGAGGGAGAGAATGTGTGTGTGTTATGGTAAAGCCACATCAGGCTATCTGCTGTGTCCACCGAGGAGAATCAAACCCCTGATTTTAGCATTGCAAATCTGTAGACTTACAATTGTCCCACCAAGGAACAGGAAGAAAAGAAACAATGAATTTTTCTATCCCCATAAAAATAGACGTAGAATATGAATCTATGATATCCATGCTTTTGTGCTTTGGCCTATGACTACATAGATGCCTCATGTGAATTCAATAAACATCTGCCTGTGAATTATATGTGAACCTACGTAACAACTGTCCATTTTGTGATAACAAAACATGATCTATTACTTAAGATAGAAGAAAATTATTTTATTTAGTCCAATGTTTCACCATTATAGCTTCTTCATGGCTAACAGAACACAAACAAGCTGATTTAAAAGGAACATAGGTGTTTTAAATAATTCTCATTCACATTTCAAGGTAAGCAGCATTGCTCCATGTCAACATACAAAACATTTTGTGTTTTATTATAACTAAGTGAAAAAATAACAAACTAGTTAGCACTAAAATCTTTAAACTCTCAAAATTGTCCATTATATTTTTACTTTTCACATATCACACTCACCATTTTCTGTCAGAGTTTTCTTTATCATCTCCAACAGCTTAAAACTTTATTTAAATTTAACAAAACTGTAACGTACAGTACATGTAATTGTTGTTAAGTCAAAACTTATTGCATGATTACTTCGTTAGGCCTGTGACATATTTTGCAAAGTCAGCTTACAGTTTCGGTTAACCGTAGGCGTTTGACTCTTAGTCTAACTTAGTAGCAAGTAGCACATCCATTTCAGTATTTCTATCACCTTTTGAAAGTTACGACTCCAGTGCAGCGTGCTGTAGTTATACTGTAAATAGTTTAGTATTAAGTTAGTAATAATACAATAATACTAATAATTAATAACTCTTACATTAGTTACAGTAGGCAAGTTCTGATCTTAATAATTGCAACGTTTCGACCAATAGGTGACAACTCGATACTATTAGTACCACTAAGGGTCGAAATGTTGTAATTACTAAAATCAGAACTTGCCTACTGTAACAGTTGCATTTAGTGTTATTGTATTTTTGAGTCAATTATTCAGTTCAGTAGGTTCTCACTAAACACAAAATTAGTGTAAGTTTAGTATTTTGATTTCAAATTCAACAGCTAAGTAAGCTTACAACTTACATTTTACAATTACAGTAACGCTAAGTCTAGCAGCAGCACAACTTTTTATGAACTAAATTATATGTGAACCTAAAAATAAACGACAAACCTGTCATTTTCTGATTTGTTGAAATTTAATAAGATTGAAAGTGGTGTCTTAAAATATGAGTGTATTTCTAACGTTTAGAAATTACTGTACTACTATGAACACACGACAGCATCTACAATACATATAATTAACAACAGAGGCCTAACGCATCTTCTAACTATTTGATCATGGAGTTGCATACATACTTGACACTCAATTGCAGGAATTTGCTTTCTTAAATTTTTATTAAAATATACAATTTTTAGAAAAACAATAATACATTCAGAGAAAAAACAGAAACAAAAAATGTTATGTCAAAACTGCAGTTTATCAACAATATATTACGTGAATTTTGTGTTAAAAAATATATTACAAAGTTCATTGAGAATAATTTCGCGTTCACCATAACTTTTTTAATGACAGTGGTATCATAAAACATTTTATTATTTATGACCGTGTGGTATGGAAGTATACCAGTCTCCTGTATTTACATGTTTATTGGTAATCTACAATGAAAATGGGATAAAGAAATGTTGAGATTATAAACAAGTTTTCACATTTGTTTTC